TCCTCCTCCTCCTCCTCCTCCTCCTCCTCCTCCTCCTCCTCCTCCTCCTCCTCCTCCTCCTCCTCCTCCTCCTCCTCCTCCTCCTCCTCCTCCTCCTCCTCCTCCTCCTCCTCCTCCTCCTCCTCCTCCTCCTCCTCCTCCTCCTCCTCCTCCTCCTCCTCCTCCTCCTCCTCCTCCTCCTCCTCCTCCTCCTCCTCCTCCTCCTCCTCCTCCTCCTCCTCCTCCTCCTCCTCCTCCTCCTCCTCCTCCTCCTCCTCCTCCTCCTCCTCCTCCTCCTCCTCCTCCTCCTCCTCCTCCTCCTCCTCCTCCTCCTCCTCCTCCTCCTCCTCCTCCTCCTCCTCCTCCTCCTCCTCCTCCTCCTCCTCCTCCTCCTCCTCCTCCTCCTCCTCCTCCTCCTCCTCCTCCTCCTCCTCCTCCTCCTCCTCCTCCTCCTCCTCCTCCTCCTCCTCCTCCTCCTCCTCCTCCTCCTCCTCCTCCTCCTCCTCCTCCTCCTCCTCCTCCTCCTCCTCTCGCCCCTGGGGGGTAGGAGGAGGAGGAGGAGGAGGAAGAAGGGGGGTAGGAGGGAGGGGGAGGAGGAGGAGGAGGAGGTAGGGGGGGTAGGAGGGAGGGGGAGGAGGTAGGGGGGTAGGAGGAGGAGGAGGAGGTAGGGAGGTAGGGGGGTAGGAGGGAGGGGGAAGAGGTAGGGGGGTAGGAGGAGGAGGAGGAAGGGGGGGAGGAGGAGGAAAAGGAGGAGGAGGAAGGGGGGGGGAGGAGAAGGGCGGGGATGGGAGAAAGAGGAAGGGAGGGAGGAGGAAGGGGGTGAGGAGGAGGAGGAGGAGGAGGAGGAGGAGGAGGAGGAGGAGGAGGATGGCGGGGGATGGGAGAAGGAGGAAGGGTAGGAGGAGGAAGGGGGGTGTAGGAGGAGGAGGAGGAGGAGGAGGAGGAGGAGGAGGAGGAGGAGGAGGAGGGCGGGGGTGGGAGAAAGAGGAAGGGAAGCAGGAGGAAGGAGGGGAGGAGGGTAGGGGTGGGAGGGAGAGGAGGGGGATGGGTACGAAACTAATTTAACTTGTTGCTCTTTTTTTCTTTTTTGCTTGTACATGTTTTTTTCTTTCTCTCTCTCTACTTCTTTCCTGTCTTTTCTGTCTTTATGCCTATCTCTCTTCTATTCTTATTATCTTTCCTGCCTCTATCTATTCGTCTGTCTGTTTGTTTCTATCAATCTGTCTATGCACCCCCCTTCTCTCTCTAACTCTCTCTCTCTCTCTCTCTCTCTCTCTCTCTCTCTCTCTCTCTCTCTCTCTCTCTCTCTCTCTCTCTCTCTCTCTCTCTCTCTCTCTCTCTCTCTCTCTCTCTCGCCAAATGCGGGTTGTCTCACCGTAGAGTTGCGTACACTTTATCTATCAACATGTTGCCAAGTTTTGTTTTTGTGCCTCTTTATCACATTTGCGTATAGAAGCTGACAGATTGGAGACTGTATATGAGAAAGATGAAACAAGATCAAAGACAGGTGAATTAAGGGATGAAAGACTGACGAGAATGCAGAAAAGGAAGAGAAGAAGAAAAAGAGAAAAATAAGAAACGGAGAATGGCTGCGGAAAATAAAATCAAGCGCCAGCGACGGAAAATTGAAACACGCTCGGTAAGCTAAACCTCCGCACCCAGTATTAGTGTAACGAACGCCACAAGACACGAGCCAAATCCACTAGTTCAAACACACCCTTTCCCTTGCCTCTCTCCCCTCTCTTCCCTTCCCCCTACCCCTTACCTCCACCCTCCCTCTCTTCCCCTCACCTTCCCCTCACTCTCTTCCTCTCCCCATGCCCTTAATTTCATCCTCCCTCTCTCCCTCTCCCCATGCCCTTTCCCCTCCCCTCACCGTGTCTATATTCCCTTTCCCCTCCCTCCCCTTACCTCTACCCTCCTTTATTTATCTTCCTCCCACCATCTCTCTTTCGCCTCCCTTTCCCATGCCATTCCTCCTTTCTCTATGCTCCCTTTCTTACCCGCTCCTTACCTTTCGCCCTTTTCTATCCTCCTTATCTCCCCCTCTCCTTCTGCTTTATCTCCACCTTTCCTTCAATCGTTTCTCCTCGTTTCCTCTTCCTCGTCCTCCTCACCCCTCGCCTCCTCCCTCCACTGGCGCCTTGTTTACTACCCTCTCTCACTGTTTATATATATTCTAAGATGCCCTTTGAAGAGGTCTCTGGCCGTAGAGAGGTTCAGCCATACACATACATTCTGATGTATTTGTAAATAACATCACTGCATCTCTTTTAGGTGGAATTCACTTGTCGATATCTCTCGACTTGCTCTCCTCTCACCCTTTCTCTCCCTCCCCCCTCCCTCTTACCCTCTCTCCTTCTCTCCTCCATCGACCTGCCACCTCTCTTCTTTCCGCTTCTCCTCTACACGTTTCTTCTCCCCCACCTTTCACCTTTCCCCTCTCTATGTCTCCCCTCTCCTCACTCCATATGTCCATTTTCTTGTCCCTCTCTCTACATATCCCCTCATCAACTCAGTTCATAATCTCCCTCTTCCTCTTCTCACCATTTCTCCCCTCGTCCTGCTTTATCTCTCCCCTCTCTCTCTCCCTCTCTCCCCTTCCAGTAATACCAACAAATCAGTCCTGAACTTATAACATGTCTCTGACTAGTTACAAATCCGAGAGGCAAGCAAAGTTGTCAATCCTACCTCGCTTTCTAGGCGGATGGGGAGCGGATGCTGTAGCTGATAAGATACGAGGCTGCTGTCCGACCCTTTTAGTTAAGCAACTCATTTCTTTTTTGTTCGCGCTGTCTCTCTCTTTTTTGCCTTCTTTTTCTTTTCTTTTTTCTCTAATAGCTGTTTATCTTGTTTTTTTCTCTTTTTTTTTTTTTTTTTTTTCTTTCTTTCTTTTTTTTGCCTGTTTATCATCCTTATCGTGAAATATGATACGTATCTGTGATATCTTTCTTATTTTTCATCCTAGTGATATCTTTATGTGTAGGATGAGCCTCTTATATATATATATATATATATATATATATATATATATATATATATATATATATATATATATATATATATATATATATATATATATATATATATATTTTTTTTTTTTTTTTTTTTTTCGTCTATTTATCTAGCGGCGGAAGTTATTTTTTCTTTTATGTTATTTCTTATTTCTTCAGCTTCCTTCGAATCATCTTTATCACTTTATCGCTTTTCCTGATAATGAGAAAAAGGTATAATTATCTCTTCTCTTATCTATCTCTTGCCCTTGCTAACAAACAGAATACAAACAGCGGAAAAGAACAGAAAGTTAAATTAGGAATTATAATTTTCATTTATCTATCACTCTACCTCGCGACCCAGGCTATCTACTCGTTTTTTATTCGCCTGTTTGTATATAGAACACATATGAAAATAAAGCTGATAATGGTTACTATGACGATAATAATTACAGAGATACTGATAAAACCGATGTATAAGATAATGATGATAATGATGATACTAAAAGTAATAATGCTGACAATAATGATAACAAAAATAATAATGATGATGATGATGATGAAAAATATGAATAACGATTCTAATAACAATACCACTACTTATAATAAAAATCATGTTAATACCAATAACATTTCTCACATGCATACATACATACATATATACATACATACATACATACATACATAGATAACACACACACACACACACACACACATATCCTTCACCATTTCCCAAACGAGTCTCCCCTATGGTTGTCTTCCTCCTCCCCTCTCCCCCTCCCCCTCCCCCCAGGGTCTTTACAGCATCTTCTCCGAGCTTGGGTTAAGTGCAAGATAATTAGACGTTATTCTCAGGTACGCTTTGGTCCCGACGAATGATGGCCCACATGCAGGCTTAATTATTTCCCTACCCCCGTTCCTCTTTCTTTTGATGCCTGGGATTTCGTGGTTCGCATCCATGCTGGGAGGAGGTGGGAGGGGGAGAGGGAAGGGGAAGAGGAAGGAGGAGGGGGAAATGGGAGGGGTAGAGGGAAGGGGAGAGGGAGGGGGAGAAGGAAGGGGAGAAGGAAGGGGAAGAGGGAGAGGGAGAGGGAAGGGGAAGAGGGAGGGGGAGAGGGAGAGGGAGGGGGAGAGGGAGGGGGAGAGGGAAGGGGGGAAGGAAGAGGAGAGGGAGGGGGAGAGGGAGGGGGAGAAGGATGGGGAGAAGGAAGGGGAAGAGGGAGAGGGAGAGGGGGAAGGGGAGAGGGAAGGGGAAAGGAAGAGGGAGAGGGAAGGGGAGAGGGAGGGGGAGGGGGAGAGGGAGAGGGAGAGGGAGAGGGAAGGGGGGAAGGAAGGGGGAGAGGGAGGGGGTAGGGGGAGAGGGAGAGGGAGAGGGAGAGGGAAGGGGGGAAGGAAGGGGGAGAGGGAGGGGGAGAGGGAGAGGGAAGGGGAGAGGGAAGGGGAGAGGGAGGGGGAGAGGGAGGAGGAGAGGGAAGGGGAGAGGAAGGGGGAGGGGGAGAGGGAGAGGGAGAGGGAAGGGGAAGGTGAGAGGGAAGAGGAGAGGGGGAGAGGGAAGAGGAGAGGGGGAGAGGGAGAGGGAAGGGGAGAGGGAGGGGGAGAGGGAAGGGGGAGAGGGAAGGGGGAGAGGGAAGGGGAGAGGGAAGGGGAGGGGGAGAGGGAGAGGGAAGGGGAGAAGGAAGGGGGAGAGGGAAGGGGAGAGGAAGGGGAGAGAGAAGGGGAGAGGGAGGGGGAGGGGAGGTAGAAAGAAGAAGAGGAGGAGGAGGACAAGGAGAGAAGAAAAAGAGGAGGAGAGAAGAAGAAGAGGAGGAGAAGGAGAGAAGAAGAAGAAGAAGAAGAAGAAGAAGAAGAAAAAAAAGAAAAGAAAGAGAAGAAGAAGAAGAAGAAGGAGAAGAAGAAGAAAGAGAAGGAGAGAGAGAGAGAGAGAGAGAGAGAGAGAGAGAGAGAGAGAGAGAGAGAGAGAGAGAGAGAGAGAGAGAGAGAGAGAGAGAGAGATTAATAGAGAGAGAGATAGTGAGATTAATAGAGAGA